ATATACAATGTGAACTGTTATTTTAAACGTTAAGAAATACTGTGATATGTTAAAAGTGAAAGTAATGCCAAAAATTTTAACTTATTCGTGTGACTGTAAAAAGAGCAAATTATTGTGAATATGTGTTAAAGGTTGAATGAATGTAGTTAGGCTCTCTGACGCTACACTTCAGAGTTAGCCACTTTCAGAATAGTACCTCAGGGTTTAGAGATGAATATAAGGTGTGTTATGAGGTCTTGTTATGTTGAATTTTAACACGTTAGTGTTTTGATTGCAGGCGGTAGTGTTGAACACTTGTACATAAACACGTTCGTGTTTGGTGTTTTCCTTTACAACACATGTCAGAGAGCACGGGGAGATAATTAAATAACGTCATGAATGAAATAAGAATGTTAAGATAAATATAAGTATTCATGTTACTTGCCATTTAATTGTGTAACATTTCATTAAACTAGTTTTCCTTCCAGATCTCTGGAAGGAACCAGATTTCAACTAAGAACTCCTGTTTAGATGCAGTACAGATGAAAAGTAATTGTCCATGGAGTTGATAATGTAAAAAACGACTTTTTTTTTAAAATTTTTAGTTTCTAGTGGGAAATGTTTGTAAAAGCCTCGCGTTAGATTCTAGAGCTGAAAGTTTTCAACAAGGTCGTTTTAGACCTCAGTTTCAAACTAATTAACTCTGGCGGGAAGTATGTAAGGATCTTAAGTTTTACTAACGTTTATTTTATTTTAAATCTTTACTATCACTTCTTATTTTCTACTTCCTGCCAGAATTAAAAGCTTTAACTTATTTATGCAAATTTGTCTTGCGAACGCCAAGTACTTAAGTTGTGGCTTTTTTGCCAAGCAAGAGAGAGGAAGGAGTTATTAGAAGCAGGCCGCTTGCCATAGTAGTTTTACTCGGTTGTTGGTTGCCTTCAAGGCCAGAGTTTTAATCCTCTTGATAATTTTAAACGTATCGTAGTGTTAGCAGTTCTCTGTACTACATACGGCTTTTTGCTTAATATACGGCCAATCTTGGAGTAGGCACTTGTTTATTAATCCAAAGTTTAGTTAGAGTTTAGTTAATATTTTTATATTCTTACGTTCAGACCACAAGTGGTTGGTCTCTGTATTCCGAAGTCCGGAAATCATTGTAAAGAGAGAAAAATAAAGGGTTTCGTATACCCTTCCTGTGTGTATTGTCTACTTCCCAAATTTATTGAACATAGCTTTAGTAAGCTCCCTGTTCCGAGTCAGGACATTTAATGTTCCCAAAGCAAGTAAGGAGGAACACAGAACCTGATACAGTGCCGCCCGAACTAATAGAGTGGATGAAGATTCTCCACCACCAGGATTTGGCGATTGTTTCCCCTAATGCACAGTCGCCCTTTAAAAGGTAAGTATATAAGGTATTTCTCCCGCCTTCTTAGCATGTCTTCGTGTTGTAAAGGTCAGCATGCTCGGCACGTTTTCGAGAGGTCCGTGGTTTGAGTCCTCGCGAGGGCATTGCTTATTTTTTCATCTCTCCTGCTTTCAAAGAATACCTAATGTCTCTACACACATACAGGCAGTATAGACGCCTAAGAGGTACATTCCATTTTTTTCCTGATAATTACGCTGATATATGTATGTTACATGATATACATTCTGAAATATCTAGAAATTAAACGGACTTTGTACGCAGCCTGTAATTGATTATAATACCTGTATCTTAATTTGAAGCAGTATTTATTTATGTTTGATTATTCATTCATTACATCAAACACATTCTAGAAAAGACAGAATAAATTTCAAACACAAAAACTGCTGATATCTATGTAGGATGAGGTTAGGATTAAAATAGAGGAAGGCAGTGACATTTTAAGGGTATTTAATGATGAAAGAATAAACATGATTGTGGTATGTACATAGTGAAAGGAAGTAAGATAAAAAGTTTGAATCGTCGTGAAACGGAATTACATCTTTCGAGCGGCATAGTTCAGCTGCATCCATCACCGTGTTCTAACCTCATCGGAATGCAAGTCTGTCCATTTCCTCACGCAGCTTGAAGAAGTATCTCGTCGCTGTTGCCAGATTTAGGAAAAGGCGGACGAGTTATAGGAGCGAATTACCACACGGCCATTCTGCCTTGCCGGGCGTCCTCGCCTGGGGGTTGATCTTAAAAGAAAGAAAAAAAAAAAAAAAAAAGCAGAAAAAGTGAAAAAAAAATCAATGTCCAGGTGGCGAATGTTAGGTTTGTGCACCACCGGTTCGTCTTATCAGCACAGGTTGTCATCATAATGGTTCCTTCATGGCGTATCTTTTGTACTTCATTACAATCATAGGGATGAACTGTCTCATAAGGACCGAATAATTTGGGACGAAGTTTAAGTCCAAGTTTCAGTTCAAGTCGAAGATTCAGTCCAAATGGAAGTTTCAGTTCAAGTCGAAGATTCAGTCCAAATGGAAGTTTCAGTTCAGGCTGGATTGGTATTTGGTGTCCAAGTTTGTATTTGCAGGGAGGTTTGCGACGTTTCTTATACTGTCGTATATGTGCTTGCTGTAAACGGAGGAGGTTCCGTTGAGCTTCAATGCATAATGCAGCTTTTTCATTATCATGCTGTGTCAGCAATGTCATTGTCTTTGAAGTTCGTTTAAATTTTATTCGTTTATACTTCCAGGCTCTCGTCTTGCGTTTCTTTGGGTGTGAAGCGGATAAAGTGTATGAAACAGTAATTTTGATTCTAAGTATTTCAGCATTCTGTTTTGCCTCGCTTCAATTGCATCATTTTCCTGTATATAACTTACGGTAACATTTGGATGTACAGGTAATAAATTCAGAGTTATCTGAGATGCTTTTGGAAAAAGTTCGGCAATTTGAGAAATTGTACTATCCGCTGGAATGTCAGAGACAAGTAGTTTCCTTAGATTATTTTTCTGTTCCTTTGGGAATTTCTGCACTTTTAGCAGGTGTTTTAGGTGTTTTCTCGTTTGCTTGATCAGCACATGCTTGTTCAAATTGATTCAGTTTATTTTTCGCAGTTTCTTCAATATTCTGCACGTCTGGATCATTATCGACATCATCATCATCATTAGCTTCATGACTGTCATCATCATCATCTTCATTGACATGATCTTCATCAACAACAGCAATGTCATCTTGATCAACATCATTATCACCATCTTCATTAGCTTCATGAGTGCCATCATCATCATCAGCACCATTAGCGTCATGATTGTCGTCATCATCAATATGATCTTGATCCATGTCGTTGTCTGCGTCATCACCAACTTCATCAACATCATCGTCATGAGCTCCACGATTGGTATCAGCATCATCTTTGTCATAGAGATCATCCAAATCCAAATTGTCATCATCTAAATCCAATTCTAAATTGTCATGTGCATCATCATTATCATTTTCCTTAACTGTTTTCTTCAACTGATGTTCATTTTCTTTTATTCCCTAAAAATCTTCCATAGTAGTGTCAACTTTGTGTGGTTTGTGAGGAGGAATGATATGTTGAACTTCTTCGAGAATTTCCAATTTTGGGATGTGTGAAAGATCAGATGTAAATGTGTGATCATGAGTAACATTAGCAACATTAACAAAAATTTGATCATTATTATTGCTGCATAAATGAATACCGTCTTTATCAAATGTAAATCGAATTTGTTGCAAAAAGTCTGTTCCAATAATGGCATCAAGAGGAATCATATAGTTTTTTACTATATGGACACTATATGGACACTATATTTTTACTATATGGTTTTTACTACATGGATTTTAGCAGGTAAAATAGTGTTTTCAATTTGAATGTAGTCCTGAAAGAATCCAATACTTTGAACTGTGTCTCGGCCAAGTCCTGAGAATGTAATTCTGGAAGGATGTAATGGTGGAGAACCAATTTTGCGGTATGCTTTGCTCATTAATTAGTGTTGCTTTGTGATCCAGTGTCATAGAGAGCAGTTAACTGAGTTCTTTAAGTTGAATATCAACATGCATAGGATTTTTAGAAAACTTTTGATCAGAAAGTGCATTTACAGTATTATCAGATATAGAACAACTAGGAGCAGATTCCGTGGTAGAACTACCAGAACGTTTGGGACAATTGGAATGAACGTGACCATAATTTTGGCAGCCATAACAGAATTTGCCATTAGATTTATTAGGACAAGTATTGCTTCTGTGACCTTTTAAACCACAAGAATAACAAACTGGCTGTGTATTTGATGTACGTTTAGCATCAATTTTAGCATTGGGAAAGGAATTTGTAAATTTCTTAGGAGTACTTTGCTTCAAATGTTTTGAATTGTTAAAAAGTTTTTCATAAATCTTCAGTTTTTCTTTAAATTCAGGGATGGATTTACAACCGTATAAAATTATTTTGTTGTTTGATGAATCAGGAATACCGTTGATGACATAGTCAATCAAAGAAGAATCATCCAGAGAACCTTTGTGTGCGAGGTCTCTCATTGCTAAAAAATATTTTTGTAAGGTTTCAAATGGTTTCATGTGACGAGATTCCATTATTTTATGTAATTGAAGGCTATTAATTTTTTCCAAAAATTCATATAATAAATGGTGTTTTAATTGATCCCAATTAGTAATTCCACGAATTGATCTTATTAATGTTAAAGCTGGACCTGTAAGACATTTTTTAACAAAAATTACTTGGTGTACAGGATTATTTAATGATGAAAGAATAAACATGATTGTGGTATGTACATAGTGAAAGGAAGTAAGATAAAAAGGTTGAATCCTCGTGAAACGGAATTACATCTTTCGAGCGGCATAGTTCAGCTGCATCCATCACCGTGTTCTAACCTCATCGGAATGCAAATCTGTCCATTTCCTCACGCAGCGTGAAGAAGTATCTCGCCGCTGTCGCTGTTGCCAGATTTAGGAAAAGGCGGACGAGTTATAGGAGCGAATTACCACATCTATATATCTGGATGGTTCTGAGATTCTAAGTTACATTGTTTATTCTTGAATCAGATATTATTTGATCAGAAATCATTGTTATTTATTGCAGGTCATGGCAGTTTGCGCATATCCTCCTCTTTTGAACGATAGCTTTATTCCCAGTGATGTGAAGGCACGAGCTAACAGTATCTTAGACGAATGCGGAGGCAGAAGTGCAGGTAAGATACGAAAATATACAAAAAAGCTGAATATTCAAATTTGTTCTCAAACACAATTTTATTTTTCTTATTATCATGTGTAATAAAAAGTATTTTCAAAAATACGAGACATAGCTTTTTCAGTATAGAAAAATATTTTAATGGTCTTTAGATTTTAGGTTCAAAGCGTTTGGTAATATTTTTAATATATGAGATACCGCTGCAGTTATATGGTCTGTTATCAGTAAATATTTTATTGCAACTGATTTCATTTATGGCTTTAAAAGTTTATAATTCATTTCAGAAGTTCAAGACAAGTTGAAATCATGATGTCAAACATTCAGTTGTGTAGTTCTCTGGCTGTTAACTGGAACTATACTTCCCGACTCTTATATATCAACCCTTTGCACTACACTAGAGGCCTTCGGCGAAGCAGCAACTCGAGGCGATTTTCGAATATTTATTGAATTTCTTACTGCTACTTTAAAATGATTTCACAGAAATCTAACGGTTTTTATATGTCTGAAGGTACTTGCTGTCTTCAGGCTCTTTCGCCGGATATAAACGGTATTCTCTGCGGTATTTTTTCGGATTCTGAGCACATTATCCATTGTGATATTGGATTATTTTCTGTAACTTCTGTAGAATCCCTGTTGCTTTCACATTCACTATCTATTACCTTGATATTTCGCCTTCTTACAACTCTTACCTCTCAACTTCATCACTTCTTTCATCCTCTACAAATGTTAGTCTACGCACAGACGTAATTTCGCTCCTCTACAATGAAAAATCAAACTCATCTTCTCTTGAGCTGATTATTTCACCTTATTTCGTGCTTATTGGGGTCCGTAACTTTGAAAATAATATTCCTATTGCCACGACTCTCAAGTTCGAGCTAACATCGAAGACACATATATGATAATAAATCTAGAATATGTATTTAAGATTTAAGACCAGCAGTTGTTTTATATGCACATATTGTTGAGTATGAACCAAACTAGTCTCATGAAGTGATAACTGAACCAAACCTCAATAAACATAGTTAACGCATCAAATCAAGTGGTTAGTGAGAGTCACCACATGAGTTGATGGACAAGTCGAATCCATCGACTCAAGTGATTGAGTTGATGGACCAAGTTGACCACTCGAGTTAATGGACAAGTGGTGATCGAGAGTCACTTCTCGATTGTAAAGGGTTGATCACAATTTCGAGCAATTTCTCCTTCGTGGAAATTCACTGTACGAGGAAGCATAAAAAAGAAAGTTAAATATTTTTTGCACAAAACATGTAGAAATTGGATTGGATGCACATTTATACATTTTTAAACAGCTCATTTTACGGTTCGTGAAGATGTATTACTGATCCAATAACGTCGGGATTCCACGACAAATATTCTTCAACGACTGACTGTCTCATCATTGAAGCATCTTATCTTTCATTTGATTACTTGCAGGAAATGAAATGAAACGGATGCTAGCTTCTTGCTAGTTGTTATCTCATTGAAATAAAACTGATGAAGAATTCAAGCTACTCAATGGAACATTTTGCTAAATGTCTGTTGGTTTCTCATATCAAGTATATCAAAATTGATTAATTCCTACATCTTCCTGTTCGTGTATGCTTAAAACAAGCCGAATATTAGAATTACTTTTTTTTTGACATTGTATTTCCTATGAGGACGACAAATCTTCATGCACTGAAACCTCAAGCTACATGGATAACGTTTTTGTAATATCCGGGGCCTGCCTTATTGTATCTGGTGACTTTCAAGAAACCTTAAACATTCGGCGCCATATGCGATCGCCTTATATCCCCTTTTAAAGTCGCTACTAGCAGTATTTATGTAATATATTATTTTAAATTCATTAACATATTAAAGTTGCTTTTTGATGATTCCTCATATTTCAAAATATTTACATTCTATTGAACTTAAACTGCATTTTCATAAATGATAACTATGTATGAAAGTAATTTCGGTAAATAATATTCGTTTCGCTTTAAAACATGGAGGAAAATGCAAAACCTGATGTGTGTAAGCTATTTTTGTTGAATATCCTACCTGTTATCGTTATAGTTCAGTTAACTTCAAATTATAATGGTCATTTTAAAATCGAGATAGTGAGGAGTTTAAGCTCAAAAGACGCAGTATGTTCATAATTCCAAAGATTTTATGTTGCTTCTACGAATGATTTTGACATTTAGTGAAGAAATGTTTTAATTCTGATAATTAATATTTAAAAATTTTCTGATTTATTACTTATCGTAATTAGTGTTTTATAATATTATATGTATAACAAGATATATAAAAATAACATAACGTAATTAACTTTTATATATTTAAAGGAGCATACACGTACAGTGAAGGCATAGACCTTATTCGAGAACACATTGCCCAATACCTGCAAAGAAGAGATGGAGTCCAAGCTTCAGCCGAAAATGTCATATTGACTGCTGGGGCCAGTGAAGCATTGAGGGTAAAGGATACAAACTCATTATAACTTTATTTCATCGCTTATAATTTACGATTTTATTAAGCTATTTTGAATATTTTGAATTTTCAGTCGATTTTGAACGTTCTGAATTCTCCTAATGATGGCAACAGAATTGGTGTGATGGTACCAGTCCCAAGAGATCCCTCTTTCACTTCACTTCTGAATGAATTTGGTATGGTTGAGGTAAAGAAGTACATAGATAAAATCAAATTAAAATTTGAACAGAATTTAAAGAATGATTTAATTTTTCGAAAATACAGATCAACCTCAATTAAAGCATATTTCAAGTTAGCGGACACTCCCCTGTTAACATACAGTTCGCCAAACTGTCAAATAAGAAGCTAATACATCCGCATTTAGTTTCGGACATCCCTTGATGATATATAAAACCCAGGTAGTGTCAGCTAATGAGAAGTTTGATTGTATCAGTCACTCGGATTAAAGAAATCACAACTAATGGAAATACTATGTAATAGTGTAGTAATTTTTTGTAAATATATAAATACTTCGCTATTTTTTGTAAATGTATAAACACTTTAGTTCTTTAAATTATTTTTATATTTTCAAGTATCCATTTAATATAAAATTTTGTAAAGTGATATAAGATTACAGGATTGAGTAACAGTTCTATATATGTCTGAATAAGATTTTATGACGAATTTATAATCTAACCTGAAGTAACATGTTTCATTATATTATACAATTATATATATATTGTTACAAAACGTCCAGGCGCGGTGAGATAGCTTCCCCGCAAAACAGGCTTATATATATAAAATGGAAAGATAAGGCAAAGTTGCCACATTTGGCGAGAAATCGCTCATTTGGCGACAAAATTGGCGATATACCATGGACAGACGGAGAACCTTCTGGAACGAATTCTTACCGGTTTAGCCCAGCATGTTCTCGAACACCAGCCAAAAGCTATATAAACCCTGCTGGTTCGCAGTCAGTTAGTGTGTGTGCCTCGTCTAGCGAGCTGATATATAGTCAGTCAGCGAGTGTCTCGAAGTCTAGCGCCGAGTTGGTCGTCCAGTGCATCGAAAGAGTGTGCCTTCGAGTATCGCGGTTAGTGCATCGCCGAGAGAGCGTGTTGAGCTCCGGGAACGACTGAACCGAAGAGTCGGGAGCCGTGCCCTGTATGTCGTCGAGTGCATCGCGAGTTGTAGCGTGGAGAGGATCTAGAGTACGTGGAGTTCCGAGAACGACCGAGCAGAGTCGGGAGCTGTACTCTGGCGCTTGCAGTGAAGCTGTCCCCCGTTTAGCCTGATAACCTGAAGGCTGTATCGCTGATTGTTCCAGCGAGTGTATATAGTAGATCTTCGACGACTGTAAAAACGTGACTTTGGAGCTGTCCTGATTAATATTGGCTAAATAAAGTGTGTTTCGATACTTCATCAAGTGTCGTCGTTATTCACTCCAAATCTACGAACCCCATACGAACGTGAAGGAAGAAAATAACGTAACAATATATATAAAGTTGTCAATAAAAATAAGAATGAAATCTCATCAATGACTCATAGAATAATGGCTGAACGTTCAACTAATAGGACAAATTTTAGTTTATAAAAGTTTAATATTCAACTTCTTTAATTTAAAAATGTGATCGTTCTCAAGTATTGCAATGTTTCTAGACGTCTTTCGTATTAGCATTACATTCAACTGATTAGCATTCCATTTCTGAAACGTTAAAGATTCTCTTCAAATAAAGTACACTTAATTATTTCAGATTGATTACTTTTTGGAAGAAGATCAAGAATGGTCCATTAGTTTAAATGAACTCTCGTCTGCGCTGGAAGCAGCCAGTCGTTACTGTATTCCCAGAGCAATTTTAGTCATTAATCCTGGCAATCCTACAGGTACGAGATATTCATTAACTTTTGTTAGATACGATGCAGTAAATTAAAAAATATAATTCGCTCAAAAAGCTATGACTTAGTGCCTTAATTAAAAAAAAAACTTTTAAAATGTTTAAAAGTTTTAAACGATATCTAAAAACTTCCTGTAGAGGTTCAGTACAACTCCAATCATCGGGAGTTCCAGTTATCTGGATCGCATGTTCTTTTTTTGGGGGGGGGAAAGTCAAATAAAGTTGTTAATTTCTATATCTTCAAGGCATTATAGAAGACATTCTGAGAACATTAAAAAAAAACATAATATAGAAAAACTTCAGTCACATTTTTAGCTTCAGTTCTCATAAATTTAATGACAGATTATCAACCTCCGCGCCCCATTCTATGAATTCTATCAGACGTTTCCCACTTTACAAACTTTCATAGATACGAACAAAATTGTCTTGAAAGAGGGAAATTTGTTCGGATTCGAATAATAATAATGATAATAACAATAATAATAAATAAATTATGAGAGGTTTGCTTAAGTAAAGTCTGGTGTGCAAGATACAATACAGTGCTGTAATCGTATTTACCAGGAAAAGGAAACCTATTCAGAAAAGTTTACACCTTTACTTTCTTAACTCTTCAGCAAATGATGCTGCTGGCACAATTAATGTGCCAACTTCTTCCACCTCTCATACAGTCTCCTCATCACAAATGGAGCCTTTACTTGTCAATGAGTCTTCAGTGTCAGACGTTGACTCAAACTTACCCACTTAAGATCTACCAGACTCATCCTCACCTTATCCATTCATGCCTGGAAGACGAGTATCCAAGGTACATAATGTATAGTAAAGTAATTCTTTATTTATTTTTAATTTTTTATTTGTAATACACTGTGTAGAGACATTAGGTATTTTTTGGAAGCAGGCAAGATGAAAAATATGCAACACCTTCGCCGGGTATATTTTTGGAAGCAGGAGAATTGAAAAATTAGCAACGCCCTCACCGGGAATCGAACCATGGACCTCTGGAATACGTGCCCAGCGTGTGCAGACCACCACACTACGAAGGCATACCAAGAAGGCATAATAATCACGTTAAAATTCAAAAAGACCATAATAAGAAAAGCATTTTCACATGCGAATTACTTTTAGGAAGTTCACTAGAAAATTATATAAAAGTAAAGACAATTTTCATCTCAGGTAGTGAAAGATGATCGAATTCGATAATTTGTTCTTCATCCATATCTAAATCTGTCCTTTTAGTGTGAAAGGATAAGGATTAATATCAGCAATTTCAGGAATATCAAAAACACCTTTAAAATCCTTTGTTGAATTGGAAAGCAGCCATTATGCTCCCCAATTGAAGGTTTGTTCTTCAACAATGATGTCTTTTGGAATGAGCTTCCAGGGAATAATTTTGGAGCTCTTGTTTACGTTCTGAGTTCTCTATGTAAGCTTTTAATAAATTTTAATTATACAGTTTTCTTTGTACTTGTCTTCGATAGCTGGATTGGTGATAAAAAATACAGCATTGGTGTTGTGTTCGGCTTAAGAACACGCGATTTTCGCTAAATGTTATAAACATCCACGAAAACGAAATTAACTACGCTAAACAATAAATCGGTTGTTCATTTAATATCTGTAGAACACAAGTTATTTAATATACACATATAGAAGGAATTCAGTATAAATTTGTATTTATGATGGAATTTAAAATAGCAACATCATTCAATAGAACTTATTTGATAGTATAATACATTCATTATCGAGTTAGTATAATCATGTATGCTGTTTTGTTTGAATATTCACGTACGTTGTTATTCGTATAAACATGCTGTAAAATTCTGTTTATTATTTTATTTAATATAATTTGATTAGAAATTTATTTAAAAAAAACAACGTATATGAATAACATACTGGAAATTAATTTTTAACAGAATTATTTTCGTTGTTTGGACTTATTTTGTATTTATGTTATAACTGCTGCAACTTGTTGAAAGTTTCTAAGGCTATAAAAGCACTAACTGTAGACCGGCTGCTTTATATTTGAACAGCGACAGGACACTGCTGAAATTCTTGTAACTGTAAACTTGTAAAGGCCACATTCTAGGATTTAAACTCTCGCTTTCAGTTTTCCCGACCTCATAAAAATCTTGAAAAATTCACAAATTTTTTTTTTTCTTAAAGAAGAAGGATCTGTGTTTGACCGCTCTCCAAATCGAAACAGTTCTGTTTAAAATGTACGACAAATTAAAGTCTATTTTGCCTAAAAAAATTTGACTTTTTCATCAGAATTGATCATTTCTTGAAATGATACTGACTTTGAATGAAATTAATATGTATACAGACATCTTAATTCTTTAGCTCAATTAAAGAATATGTAAAGACAATACAGTAAAGTAAATATTTTTATAGAAGCTAATATGTTGTTTGAGATGAATATGTATGGTATGCAAGCTTCGTTTTTTTACTGAATTATTATATTTTGCTACAATAAGCGTTGGTTTTCTAAAAATAAATCCCGTATTTATAATATCATGTATATTTTCTCTCGATATGAGAATTTTTGATTTTTTAAACTGCATCGATTGAATTATAAGAAGTTATAAAATGCTGCTAAAATGTATCCCTCAGTCCTTACAATTTTTAGTTTCAAAAGATTTTTGAGTAGAAAGACAATCTGTTTAAATTTAGGCAAAAAAGCAAATTTAAATTGGGTGTAAATTTTGAATAAAACTATAACGATTTCGAAAGCGATCTAACATAAGTTCTTCTTCAACAGGTACAGGGAAAAGTGAACGGAACACTAGGATTTCACCGTAAGGTTGTACAGGCATAGTTCCACCACATTAACTACTCTACTCCACAATTCTTAGGTGACCACAGGCCGAAGCCTTACCCCAAGTTATTAAAACTATGTACAAACTTAGCATGTAAATAGAATTTCAAAATTAAGGAGATGCTTGTAGTGAAGTAACGATAAGCATTTCAGAATGTGGAGAAAAAGTTCAATGAACATCCCGAGAGGCGATCCGAGGGTCTTTCACAACTTTTTTCTTACCACCAACTGCTAGAGAGAACTTTCTGCTCGCTGTGTATTTTGAGTGCGTCCTCGCCACGCAGACACTGTATGCTTGTGTATACGGAATATATGCTTGCATACGCATATACGCATATACGCATAAGCATATACGGATATATGCTTGTGAATACAGAAACTGTGGAAACTTTAACTGTGGAACTTTTGTTCAGTTTCAAAATAGATACCTTCTCCGAGATACGAACACAGGCTCTTCGATACGGCTGTCCGCGCGACTGACCACTATACCGGATGAGCGGCTTCTTCTTCAAAAGAAAAAAAAAATATTTACTTATAAATTTTTTTTTTCAAACCCGTGAGAAGCAATAGCCGTAATTATATGAGATTTATTGAGCGAACCAAAGCGAAAACGAGCATGACGTTATATTTAGATATTATTCTTAACAGGTGGTGTTGTGCTCGTTTTTAGTATGCTCCACAGATTGAATTAGCAAAACAACAACCTTGTGTTTGGCGTAGAGTTTAGTAAAGACTTTTACGATTGCAAGGGCAAACAGGTACATGTCCTTCTGCATCAGGAGCAAAGAAATCAGGAACGAAGGAAAAGCCACGGTTGTATGTATACCTAACAGGAGTAAAGCGAAGGAGAAGGTAGTGCCATCTATAGGAAGAAAAAATAAAGAAAATTAAAAATATATGTTAATTGAATGTTAAAAGAGTTACAAAAGACTGGATTGGAATTAAAGCCACTATATAAATAAGAGAAATATTTAAAATAAAGCTTCAAGAAATCCAACTCTCCAATTGAAGAAACTTTGTGGGTAATTTATTGCCGACTCAAAGTCAGAATTACCATTACATTTCCAACTATGATTAGCTATCGAAGCTATTGTTAATTTCGAATTTTCGAACATAAAATTCGTGTTCCTTCATACTGAACTTCAAAGCTCCTTTAGTTTGGCCAATATGTCTCAAACCACGCTCACGAGATATGCTATAAGTTCCCAAACAATTAAAGTCCGAAATGGAACCTTATCATGAATTTTGTTAATAGGCGAAAACATGACATAAAAATTGATCTCCAGGAGCATCTGTGCAATTTTGTAACGTACACAGGTAGGAAATGAAGGCACGAAAAAATTATTAATGTTATTTCTAATAGCGGAATGTCTTCTTTGATGGTAAGCTGAAAATTTTTTAAAGGCCTTTATCAATAATCACGGGATAAATATCCTCGATCAATGGCAACTTTTCTCAAATAATTGAGTTAATCATCAAGTAAATATTTTGAGGAATAAACTCTGAGAGCCCGAAATACATAATAGTAAAATAAAACCATTCTTTTCCTTAGCTGGTTGACATAGCATGGGAAGGTAAACAAACAGAAAAGCTTTACGGTAAACAGTAGTGCCAAATCAGATTCATTGTGGATTATAAGAATATCAAGGAAGGGGAAGAGTATTATGTCAGATTCAGTTTCAAAAATGAACTAGTGGCTTAATCAATTGAATTTATAATAGATAAAATCTGGAATGAATCTACTTTTTTACCATCAAAAAGTGTGAAAGTGGTCTGCGTAGCCAACCCAGAGATAAAAAGACAGTTTCTCAAACAATTTGACATCAAAATGATGTATACTGGTGTGCAAAAATTAAGGACGAGACGGCTTTTTTCCAACATAACGTTGTTCAAAGCTTTCCAAATCAACACAACAATAACATAAATGCCCAAGACGCAAAAACATTGGTAATGCAAGCGAAAGTTCCCGAGAAAGAAATTAAGAGGATAAAAAGGAACTTTATTAAAAAAGTAGCATAGAGCAAAATGCGACAGAAGGCCGAAACATTCAAATGGCAGGTGTCCAGCAAAAAGCATCAAGCCTTTAGTAGGGGATATGATCTCCCGTGACTGCTGTGCAGGTTCCACATCCACTGTCCATGCTGAGTATGAGTTGCCAATGAGTTGTTTAGTCATTGCTGCCCATTTCTTTTGTAGCGCCAATTTACTGTCAATAAATGACGTGCTGTCACGCGTCTCCCTAGAAAGTCCTGCTTTGATATTTTTCGTCTGTCTTTACACATGTATTTCTCGTCTGTCTCCTCACATTGATTTCCATTGAAATATGAACGCTCTTACTTATGCACACTTTTTTTTCTTCTGAAGGAAAGGAAACTATTTTTTATTTATCTCGAAATAAATATAGATTTGTTCGAAATCTAGGGTAATTCAAAATTTCTTTTTTGACTAATTTAAAATTTTACATTGGTGTGCTTCTCTTCCAACTTTTAAAGTCTACGAACTGCTTATAGGTTCCGTACTGAATTCTAACACCATGGAAGAAATCATTCAGTTTGCTGTTCGTCAGAAATTAGTCTTACTGGCTGATGAGGTGAGCAACAAGTACGTAAGAGTGTCTTTTATACTTTTTTCATATTATATTTATACTGATAATTGGTGAGTGATATGAATAACAAGAAAAGTAATATATGGTCTTGGAAATAAAGATTTAAAAAAGGTCTTATTTGGTGCTTCTTTTAATTTTTTAGAGTTACCAGTTTAATGCATTTGGACAAGGTTGTTTCTTCCAGTCATTCAAGAAAACAATGATGCTAATGAGTGAACCTTTCAAACATTTAGAACTTGTTAGTATCATGTCTGGTTCAACTGGTATCCTTGGAGAGTAAGATCTCATTTAATTTCCGATCTTAATAATTTAATTGGCATGTAAAAGTTATGGGATACCTTTCTAATACTATGTGGGATTTCCTCGCTTTAGCTTGATGTGGCATGGATGGCTCTAATCGGCGGAATTCCACAGGAAAGATACTCTTGAAGGTCCTAACTTTAAATTCGAAATTTAGGACTACGAAATAAAAAAAATATATAAAAATCAAGAAATCTGGAGATTTAAGCATTGAAAACTTACATGTTTCATTTCTGCCACACAACATAGCAAGCCTTATTCAATCAGTAGACGAAGGAATAATCTCGAATATAAAAATGAATTGCAGATTTTTGTGTATGCTTCGATGTGTGTACTTAAGGAAATGTTCATGATTTCAGAAATAATTTACCTTGTCTCTTGCTTGGAAAGATGTAAAGAACATTATTTTACTTCGCTATTGACGTAAATTGTGGGCTGTAGTCATGTTCGTAGGTGACGAGTCAAGTGACGAAGATTCTCTTGGTTTTACAATATATTAGACCCCCCTCCATGCCAACATCTTGTATTTGGTTACATATTCGAAGAAGATTTGTATTAGTGATGAGAAGAAGCAGGGTTGGGTGGCGGCAGACATTTTTGTTTCATTCGCACTATCTTAAAATGACATCGAATTATTAGGAGATGCACTGCGAAAGAGGTAATTTTAAAGTGTTGCTTGATTTTTTGTAATATAAAATCATGTCTATGTGTTTAAATTTTAAATAATTTATATGACTTTCGATGTTATTTATTTAATTTTGGCTGATACGTAAAAAAACACGATCAAAGGTTCCGAATCGGCAATATCTATAGATGGTATCAAAAAACATGAACAAATATGTTATAAATATATATATGTTACCGACAAAGTATGAAACGCCGGCATTCTACAGAATGCCTAGGCATTCTATACAGTGCCGGGCAATTTTAGGCAAAGTATGAAATAAGAGAATTATTACATACTTTACCTAGGCATTGCATATAATAGGCATTCTACAGAATGACAAATGCTCTTTACGCAAAGTATGAAAAAAAAGGTTATGATAAGGCTGTTATTTAAAAGACGTTCATTCGTCTAAAATACAAATGTTACTTTGATAAATTAATGAAGGAGTGCCATGAAAAAACTGTTCTTCGAAATATGTAAAAAAAAGATGCTGAGGTGATCTTGATACAGAGTAATAAATTTGTATTTTCTATCTGGCTGAGACTTTGAATCGGTAAGATCTACCTGACAACCGAAGTCAGAAATAATCATGAGTTTCACATCAGTGCCCTTTTTAGTACCTTTTTGGTTTTTTTCTGACAGGGCTCACAAAGGTGATTGTTACAGTTCAATATCATTACGTGTAATGTTTTTGTAATTGGTTGAAAGTTCTTTAGACATTCTGTCACGTCGTTCCTGTGCAGTACTTAAATGTGTTTTCATGAAATAACGAAAATAACTCAGCGTCCGTGACGTAATACTGTATAGTATAATAACGCTTTCTTTAAGAGGGTAAATGAATGTACTTTTGTTTTCTACAAACATCTATCTCATCCTAGCGATTTAGCGGCCAGTAGTCCTGTGGTTCCTTCTTTAGCAGTCATTTTGGCTTTTTTACGTCATTATCTTCTAATAAGTAGTTTCGGTTCTTCGAAACGAATCAAAATGTATTTCATACTTTGCCCGGTTTGTCATTTGGCATTCTACAGAATGCCTAGGAAATGTGCAAAATAGGAATCGTTTCATACATTCCCAGCTAGTTTTAGGCATTCTAGAGGATGCCGGATTTCATATGTTGCCGGTAACATATACATTCAAATGTCCTGAATCAGCAAGGTCTCGTTGCTGCGGGTTAAAAAGAAATTCTACTGTATAACTGCTTGAAATTAAAGGAGAAAATTACGTGGAAGTTGACAAATATAAAAATTCTCTAAATTTTATATCACAATGTACATTGTTTCTATTTTAAATTCACGAAAATAAATAAATAAAAAAAAACAGATTAGTTGCATGATACTATTATGAGAATTAAATTTTCTGCAGTAAAATATTTGTAAAGAACTAACGAATTTTTTCTTTTTTAAAATTCATTCTTATTCTTTTTCTGCATAGATGCGGATTACGTTGCGGTTGTTGCGAACTGATGAATATCCGTGAAGATGTTATTAGCGTTTACAAGAAGTCTATATGCGTGAAAATGTGCCCATCTGTTATGGGTCAGGTAAATTTTCAAGAGGCGATTTCGTTAGCATAAAATATCGGGAGTGTCATTCAAAAATATCTGTTTTAAATGCTTATTGCATGAAAATAAATATTGCATGAAAATTATATATAATTTATAAAATTTCAAACGATATGTGGTTTCCGTAGAGCAGAATTTCAAACAAATAGAATATTCATTAGGCTTTTTAAAAACAAAAATGTTAGATACCTGTACATTCAGAATTCGAAGAGATGTGATTTGTCAACACTTTTAAACTGCCAGCTAAAAATTTAATATTACAAATATAGTATCCAAGAAGAAATTTTTAATTTCTAAAAACGTCAGTTTTTGTTTTAAAGTTGCATAAATCTTTTCTTAAATTTTTTAAATTTAAATCACAATCAGCGAGACAAAACAATGTTAGCCATGGTAAATTACTCAAATAGCGCGGTGAATTTTTATTCTAATATTAGAAACGTTCTGGTCTTTCAACTTATTTCAAGTGTTCTATACATTTTATGAACTCGAATTTTTTACTTTAAGTAAGATAACATTTAATGTTTAATCTTTATTTTCATCGAGTGGTTCAAATTTGGTATCTAAACTTTTATATGATTTTCTGTGCCATAGTTTAAGAATTTAATAACTAGAAATGTCCATCTGTGATTAATGCTGAATAAAGAATTACAGCTATGTTGATGATACTAAAATTTCTAATTCACTACGACTAAATAGAAGCACTTGATTTTCAATTGCTCGCAATAATGGAAAGTGCGTAATATCTGTATCAGTTTAAAATTCTCTCAATAGCAATTTTTCCTCATTAGGAATTTGAAGAGCTTTAATGAATAACAAAAAGACACAGTTAGAAAGCAAACTCATTGAGTAGCTTAATAGATGAAGTAAAAGTGAATACTGGTAGTTTGACCAAAGTTCAAATACTAGCAGAAGGGCGGCTGCATGGGCATCTTCGTATTTTCCCCACGTGTAATATGAATACGCGCCTTTACTAAAAAAGCTCGTGATGAATACATTCCTTCTGCAGGAATGCCCTCGAGTGCTTTGCCCTAACCAACTAAACAAAGTTATAAACTATGTAATTATTTTTGATAATTTATATGACAGCATCCGCATGCCCTGAGAAATATTTTTGTGTAATCCTCTTCGTTTCATATCATTTCCCTCTCTGCTGTTTAAGTTTCCCCTTGGAATTTTTTTAAGGATATCAGAACAATGTTAACTTTCAGCTAAGTTGAAGATTTATAACTGATTTTTACAGCGAAGGGCTAATGATTTTGTACAGACTATATAGCTTATATTAAAAATGGCAAATAAAACTGAATATTAATTTTAATGGCAAATAAAATTTGAATATTAATTTAAAATGCTAACTCGTTGCAGCCACACAAACGCACAAAAAATAAAAATACTTTTCCTTGTATAAACAATGGGAATGAAATTCGTTTATTTTAAATATTATCGAGTTACATTCGAGGGCAATCTTATTAAAGGAAGGGCAATATCAAGAGCAATCTTAGTAAAGTATTTCTTAGCAATCTGAGCGGCACCGCTTTTCGATCTGCAAATAAATATCTGTATATTTAAACAGCTTCTTAGCAAATTCATATGATTACTTATTTTAGTCTCTGTTTTCATAAACTTCCATTCACTAATATGCATCATTAAAGAAAGTAAGAAAAATATTTTAAATTAGAATCTAATATATGCGAAGTAACAAAAAAATTCCTGACTGGATAAAGATGTCAAGCCAGCTTTCTAAAGGAAACTGGCTCACATTTACGTTACATAAGAAAAAATTGGAAACCGCTCATGCAATTAGGCCTTTTTCCAGAATTCGAACCTGGGCCAAGCAGCTGTTTTAAAAACAAAAATTAAAATACGTTATTAGAAATAGGATAGTTAGAAAATATCAAGAAACCTAAAAAGAGCTAATGGTTTAAAAAGTGATATCCAGATATGATCCATACCGGAATGATATTATGATCACATTTTAATGATGTTATAGAAGATTTTAAAAGTTTTATTTTTAGTTAAGGATACGAAGCCTATAGCCGCCTTTTGAACAAACACCCTGTGTAATTTATACACAATTAATTAGAGCTATTAAAAATTAATTTTGATACAAAAACTAAACTTACAATCAAATATTAAAAGATTTTAAAAAAATAAAGGGAAATTATTTTTCAGCATTTTAAATCCAAATTAGCAATTATATAAAAAAATGTAATCACATTCAACATATTTGAAAACGTAACTGAGAGTAAAAGTCAAGCAGGAAAGACATATAAAAGGCAATAATAGTTTAAGACTTTGGTGCGCTTTGAAAAGGCAAATGACTAATGTTTATAAATTAGTATGCTTGAAACTTTACTCGAAGCACTTACATTTCATTTCTTGTTTTTCCAGATTGCATTAGACTGTATGATTTTTCCACCCGAACCACATGAGCCGTCATATCCAGGCTTCATACAGGTGAGATAATGATAAACTGCAAAAATGATCAATTATTTCTCAAAGCTTACTAGATAATACAGGGTAAAATGAAGAGTAAGCAACTATTTTTTTCTTCAAAGGTTGAATAGTAAAACAAAACATATCGTGTACAAAGAGTAAAATAATATGTATTAGCTATTTTTAAGATTTTAAGAAGTTTTTAAGACGTTCGAGACATTTTTAATACCGTGATACAAATATATTTAATTTAACATGCGCTCTTTTATTGTACAATCCATTTTGTTACGATATTCCTTGAGAATTTGCCACAAGTTTTCGATCGGATTTAAGTCTGGTGAATATCCTTGGCCAACCTAGCACAATAATTTTATTTTCCAACATGAACCTTCTGACAGATTTTCAAATTGTGGTATGGAGCTAAGTCACGCTGAAATGTCCCTGCAAAAGGTTTTCAACGATAGCACAATTCTACGTTTTAAAATACGAAGATTCTATAGTTCGAAGAATTCATCATTCTGTCTATAGGAACTAGATTTTCAGTGCCATCTGTGGCGGTGTGGGGGGATGCTGAAGTCTTATTGGTTCACCCTTGCTTCGTCTAGATAGTTAACAAGATATGTAAATATGAGCAAAAATAAGTCTCATCGCTGAAAATGATCTTTTCCAGTCATTTATGGTCTAAGATTTGTATTTTTTGCTCCCAATAAATCGTTTTTGCTCCATTTGACGTGTGAAAAGCTGTCTTTAAATTGTCTTTCTCGCGTTCCTACTAACAGCGAGAAATTTACGCAGCACATTTGAAGGATGAATATCAACACCAATACATAATAGATCTCTTTTAAGGTCTTTAATGGTTTTTATTGGATTAATAGTGCTATTTTGGAGTAGAAATTGATCAGATTTTGAGTTGCTTTCCTTTTTCATCTACAAATATCTCTTTCTTTCTGGAGGAAAAGATCCAGTTTCTTTGTGTCACCCAGAATTCAAGAAAAGCTCCCTATTGCAATACCAACTGCAAAAGTAATATTGCTTACAGTTATGGATTTGCGACTGTTAAATGCGATAATCTTTGCTCTCTTTCTAAGCATGATATCAATTTTTAATACGCTAAAATAAGCGAATGTTAAACGTATATAATAAGTATGCAATCGTAGTTTTCTCTTCTCACAGAAACAAGCTTAAAACGAATGCAACAATATTAACTTATTGTCTAAAGTAGTTAGTTCTCAATAGTCGAAAGTAGGTATCTAAACGAAATTAAGGCAAATAAAACTGCTTTGGAGGGACTTGAAGGTAACTAATTTAAAATTTTCGGAAAAAATCACTTTGTCCTAATTAATTTGCACTCTATAGTACACCACATTATTGATAGTATTATAGGATATATATATTTACTACTTAAGCAGAATTATTCTATATAGTGAGATAATTAAACATTTTACAATTTCGTTTCAGAATACCGATTATATATTATTATTATTATTCTCACGTTTTAGAAAAAATATAGCAATAAATAAGTAAAAATTAAATGAAATACAAAAATTAAATAAAAAGTATTTTATTTTCGAATGAATATGGTATTATGTTCATTCTCCTTTATGCAAAGTTATGAATTTGTCTTGGAAAAATATATATTTCCTCGCCCCCATGCACTGACGCAAAGAACCGTTTTAATCAGAATCCCAATAAAATTTTAAATAAAAGCAAAATTTAGGCTTGATGACCCGTAAAAAAAATTAACTTTTATTTTCCATTTTCTGAACAGGAATGTAGAGATATAATGCAGTCACTGTACGAGAAGGCAACTATTGCTATTAATGCATTGAATGAAATAGATGGCATACAGTGCAACAATTACACTGGCTCTACATTTGTTTTCCCTAAGATTTATATTCCAGAAAAAGCTGTGATAGAAGCAAAGGTAATGTTACTTTCAATGTTCATTTGAAATTTGAAAATTTTAAAAGCGTTTTCAAAAGCTTTATATCATAGTAAAGAAAATTCTTTAAAGTGAGTTATAACATATAGCAACACATTTTGAACGAGTTATGAATACAATCTCAATGAAACTGTCTAAAATGTGTGATACTACTGGAGCGAAATGTGTCAGGAAATGATTTCACTAAATACAAGATTTTAATTTATCAAACAATGTCTATTACATCTCTTTCAAAGTAACTCCACCGATTGAATTGAACTTAACACCAATGTTTTTTCAATCTTGAAACATGTTTAAATTTATTTTCATGCAGCGAATTTCCTTTTCTTGCATCGACAAACTCAAAATAGTGATTATGATGTGGCAATTTTAATCATAGAGACATCATATCATTTTAATCATAGAGCCATACAAAGTCGTATTCATTAAATTTTGGGATAAAAATTCAAGACAAAAGCATTAACAGCAGGTGTATTGACATGGTGCAAAATACATAAGTTATCTCGCCTTAATTTACTGAAGTCAACATCTACGAGTTGCTTCACACAAACACTACAAAGTACTCTAACAATATCCTTTATTAACACTTTCGCAAGATGATAAAAATTCTTGATACACAACACCAAGATAATCGAAGAAAACAATCAATCACTTTGAGGTTTGCTGACATTTGACGTGTTCATTTAGGTTTTGCTTCACATTTCGAACATGGATTCATTCACTTGATTGTTGTTTCTCTATTAAAAGCGTAGATCCATGTTTCTTCACGTGTAATAATGTATTTTAAGAGAATTTCGCGTCGAGAAAGCATCTACTTCCACTTAAACTCACTGCTGTTTTTGGCTAAAGCTTATTATTTATGGAACACTCGATAAGCGTTTTCACAATTCATTGATGGAATCCAAATGATACAAGAATTTGTATTATTATATTCCTTATTGTTAAGTGACTAATGATTTGGTCGATGTTTTATTTATTAGTTGAAACAGAGTGCCTACTACAGCGTAATTCATATTCGACCATTCTTTGCCTTTCTTAGGCATCTTGTACATACTACCCAAAGAATCTTATTTTTGACCAAAGATTTTCTTCAAAGCAATATTTCAAGCGTTTACGTAGCGATATGAAATTTAATTGCAAAGGCGAAATTTAACCAAACTCTTTGCCATTTTGGAAATTGCCAAAAGCATCAGTTTTTTATTGTCTAAAAATACATACATTTTCGAACGATAAAAGAAAATGAAATACAAGTTATTGCCAGATGTCGATAAAAGACATAACAAGTTCTGAATAAACTTTACAAGCGACTTCTCGCAAATGCGTATTTTAAATGAATCATTTCCGATACAATTTGTCCACAGTACTAGCATGGCAGTTGACGATCTATGAATACAATTTCATCATACAATACACTCCAGAAAGAATGTTGCAGAGTATATGAAAAGCTGCAGACACATTATAAAAGAAGCAACGTTATTTGTAATAGCACACTAAAGTTCATCGCATTTGTCTAATTTATATAGAGTTTTGAAATTAAAAATAGAATAAATATAGTATAAGTGAATAATCCATAGCTGGGCTTTTTTTTACCACTATTTATATTCTGTAGTATATCATAATATACAATTTAGAATGTATAGCCATAGGTACTTAATTCATGTTGGTAATTTACTTTTAAACAGTGTGCTACAAAATACTTCATCAGTTTTTCTTAGCATTTTTCTTTCTTTTTAATTTTTTTAGAAAACTAGTACTATTTTGTTATTATAGCAAATTTTATTTTTGATAATTAGTTATTAAATTCAGTAAAATCTATCACAAAATACTCATGCATCTATTTGCTGAAGCGATATCCTTATGGGGGATTTTCTAAGTGGCTTTTGTGTACGTTACACAAAGTGAAAGCATGATGATGCTTAATCTGTTCTGCCCCCCTGAGAGTCGAACCCTAGATATAAATACTAGCATTTCAAGAATTTAGCCTCTTGGCCACCTATTGACTTTACTCTCATCGAATTGTTTTTATATTTCCATCATTTTTTCACGAACACATGGATATAAAAAAATAGTTACCAACACGTTTATCATCAAGTTAGAAGGGTGATAATAAACATTCATCAAGCTTGTAACTTCCTGGCAAACATATTATTAACTGGCATTTTTATAATAGTTGTTACAACTTAATGATAAAATTCATTTTATTATGAAGATTTTAAAAGTACTGGGGATCATTTTAAAGTAAATAAATTGGATCATTGAGAATAATTTAACTACGGTTTTGGTAGTTAGTTCGTTGTAGCATTCGAAGCAAGCAAATTTTAAATTGTGTAAAATTTAATAAAGCTATTGTTGGATTTTTTCTAAAAGGATTTCAAATGGAAGAAACCTAATTCAAAGAATAAAGATTGGTAACTAATGTGTTAAATTTGAGTCTAAATTTAAGTTAAAATTTTTTTTATTAAAGACTCAATATTGAAGTGGCCTTTAGATTAGCCTCAAGTAAGTTTTAACTAAGAAAGAATTAAGAATTTATGCAGCAAAAACGTTTTCTTGTATGTAGTCTATAGATAAAGCTCCAAATGGCTCTCGATGTTATATAGCAGGAGTAGCCAAACTTCATGATGCTAGAGTAACATGGTAGCTTTCACGAAAGATCAAGAGCCGCAAAACCATATTTATACCGTTTAAAAAATTTTGAGATATCTTTTGAATAGGGAAAAAATTAAGTAATTGAATTAACTCATAATCTGCAAAATAGATTATAAGTTACTATTGCTTTTTCTGAAGTTGAACATTTGATTCTTTGGATCTTGGGAATCTTCAGAAAGATTTTAAGTTCCGTATCTCGAATCTTGGAGCTTTTCTCATCATTTGAATATTTTGAACCATAATCTAAAAAAAAAAAAAAAAAAAAAAAAAAAAAAAAAAAAAAAAAAACATTAAATATTTTAACTCAAAATGTTGGAATGGCTCATGCTCAGGAGAATTCTCCAGAAAAAGGATGCAATTGCACTTTCAGTGGTATCTAAATCATCGCTATCACTCATGACGGCTGAATGCTACGCAGTTCAGAATGGCATCCAACGAATTCTGCAGAATTTTTTAATCACCGTGTTATTGAAAATTCTCCAAACTATCTCTCGAATGGTTTCGATAATTCTGGACATAGATAAACTACTACTAATAAATATAGCAAGTGAGGCCTAGATATATAAACATTACGTTGAGCATATATTCCAATTAGCTCCGAATTTAACATAGAGCATGGCTGCTGACTTAACGAAGGACTTTAACGAAGACATGGCTGTTGAACTTAGCTCTCTTTCACGGTAAAACAAAATTAATGGTACGGAAAGAAATACTTGCGAATGCAACGGATTTATATCTGAAATGTAGGTATAATACAAAAGTTAACTCAAATTTTTATGCATCTGCAAGAGACGTTCGATGTCAAGGCTTTTTGTGACAAGACAGACGTCTTCATGATTGCTTAATTCCTGAGTTTTGCTACATAGTATACACGTTATTCTAACTGTTAACTACTGGACCCATAAAGACAGTCAGATGAATTATCGTCTCTTTTCAAACTTCCAAATAAGAATAACTCCAAAAATGAATCCTTTTTATTTAAACGTCAGCCTGACAATTAAATAAAAAAGTTACATTTTACTTTCTATGCACTATTTTCTGTATACAATCTGTGTACAGAAAATAAATCTCCGCAGCTTGCAATAAAATCAGATACAACATTTCAACAAAAATTAAAATATTAAATTACAAGATAAAGTGGGTTTGCAAGCTTTAGATTAAGCCTTCAAACTCTCATGAACAGTTACATATACTAAAGCTAAAGACATGCCGCGATTAATATGCTGTTTTCCGTTTGTCTTGATGTGTTTGCCTCAGTGCACCGGTCAGCAATAGCTGCTAAAACTTCTCTTTTAAATTCAAGAACTCTGTACTTAAAATGCATTCACTAATTTGCATTCTGATGGGAAAGGACGAAAACAAAAGTGAAAGTAAAGGCCAAATAACACGATAACTATTTAATAAGCATAAAACCCTATGCAGGTGAAAACACATCTAGATCAAATAGCTTGGTTTGGTTTATTTGATTGCGGCAAATCACGCGAGGGTTATCTGCCTAAGGGAAGGGATGTCTTCGTGAAGGGCTTTCTAGGTAAAACTGGCTCGTATACACATGGGGGAAACCACGAAAATGCTTATCCAGCCAGCTCGTTCACGAGATTTGAATCACGGACCGAACTACTAGTGTTCAGAGACTTTACTGCTCGGCCGCTGGTGAGTTCTTGATCAAATGATTCGGCCACCTCCCGTTTACTTGCTGAAGTGAGGGTAAGAATATATTCTCTTTCACGTAACTCTAAAGAAAAAAGGCCTAAACACATTCCATTTGGTTAAGACGCAGAGAATGCTTACCTTTGGAGAATCACGTACATGTTCCAATGTGACAAGTCAAATTATACCCATTCACTTTGCCACGAAAATAAAACATGACTTAATCAGTGAATTAGAGTCCGCTCACGAAATAATCCACTTGCAGCTCTATACTAAACTCTCACCATTTGACTTCCCGGTAGCTTTCTGTGCCTGCCTTAACTATGCCAGGTTTGTAACACGACATAATTTTCCTTGTATATTTGTCTGTTGGCTTGGTGCATGCACTTACTAGGGTGTCATAGCTGAAATGTTCAAATGTTTTAAGCCAGTATTTCATTATTGGTTTGTGCTTTTGGTTATTGTCCTGGATCTCCTGTGTGTTTTTTCCTTGCATAACCTGTCTTTTAAACCTGTTTCATCCACTTTGTTATGTTGTGACACTGAGTGCTTCTTTAGCACATTTGATTCAGAAATGTCTCTGAACAACAATTACTGATGGAGTTTTTGCGTGTTATAGCCCGTACGAATTTTCCTTTCGCTAAAGGCAACATTTTATATATCATCGCCTCTAGTGAGATTTGCGGCGTTGTTATACGAAAATTAGAGCGTTAACCTTTCATGTTATACCTATATTTATAAAAATGATTTATTATAGAAGTGATAAATATGTTTCTTTTCTGTATTATTCATCTTTAATTACCCTATGTTTGTCAAATCATGTCATGACAGCGAACTTCAGAATTCAAAAGTTTTTACATTGCTAAATTTCATCTGTATATTTATAATAAATAAATGTTTGCTTCTAAAAACTAGCAGCAACGCAAATCAAATGATACAATCGGAATTCAGTTTACACCCTCAATATCAGCTTTTCTGAGCGCTTGGTGTAACTGAAAGGCAGAATAGATGGAATGATAAACCATGTAATAAAACGTTCATTCTCATATTTCTACCACAATCTCTCACAGAAAATGCATTTCAGACAGATATCTGAATCAAAATATCACTAATCACGGGCATTTTCCGACATATTACGAAAGATTTAATATATAAAGTATTGTACTTTTCCGTGTTTTATGTCGGATGTCGAAATATTATTAACATTATTACGGAATTCACTCTTTCAATGGCTGGAGAAACTAACTTCCTGCACTAGTAGAAGAATTCTGATGTTTGTGCATAATACATCCATTTTGTTTTTACATTTCCATCTCGTTTTCAGTGCCCACCAGGGCCGAGCGGAAAGTCGCTCAACACTGATAGTTCCGAAGTTGGAATCCCGCGAACTGCATGGGCGTTTTCTTCATGTGTAACCTGTATACGAGTCAACATTCCTCCCCTTAGGCAGATAGCCCTCGAGTGCTTTGCCATAATGAAATAAACCAAACCATCTTGTTTTCTCTTGCGTAGTGCTTATAAATGACATTATATTTTTCAGTGTAAAGCTGTTCGACGGCATATCAACTAGATTTGTACTTTAGATCTGATAGCGGCGTCATCTAATCTTTCAATTAATTTTGATAAATGCGCTTCGCATTCCTCATGGGAAGTTCTATATTAATCTCTTAACTCCTTCTTCCGCTTAGTATATTAAACTTTCCTCTCTGGTGGAGCAGGTTGCATACATTTGTGTTATTTGAAGTTAACCACATTTTGAAGTGAGAAATATTTGAAATGCATTCTGTAGGCGCATTGGGGAGGGGGTACTATGAAATTAGAGAATGAAAGATAATAATTGAAAAGTGCTGGGTGTAAACTTCAAAAGAATTTCATGTAGTAGCCAGGCAGTGGATGACACTACAACCTTCATTTGGGCTACTAAAGCTTTCGGGAAGGACGTGTCAGGTGTAGGAGATGATCGAAGATTCAGAAACCCCAAATTATTAACAGATTAAACAAATATGACATTAATTAGGAATTAGGAAAACAAGATTAAGTTTTCTGATAAAATTATTGCCAAATTTTAAAGTAAATAAAATTATAAGTACTGAACCATGAGCTAGGAAAGAAATTGAATAGTTGGCTAGAGCTTTCAAGCATACGGAATTCAATTAATCTGTGTAATGAGTCTTGAAAGCAAGTTAACTGAAAATTCAAGAAGGAAACTTAAGCATCTAAAATTCGAAAATGAGTAGAAATTACAATTACATAAAGTGGCAATCAATGGAATTAAAAATGTATATATAGCTGTATACATGAAAGAAAATATAGCAGCTACAGTTAATAGTTTGCTTCGCATTAGGCATGTACAAAATTCCCTTGTTGTGATAAAACAGAATGGACATTTTTATTGATTTCGAGAATGAAGGTCTTTGGCTTTTGATGAATTTCCTGTTTCATTTCAAAAACATTCCACGGTAGTAATATTTAGTTGAATGTCACAATATTCAAGCTACCTGGTCTCCTTTCAATGGCAACAGTCATGCCATTCCACATGGTAATGTGTAACTCATCCATCTGAAATTTACTCCATATAATACCAAAGCTATGAATGCTTTCCTTTGCAGGGGGTTAATAAATGTTCAGTTTCAGTCCTTAATTAATAGTAGCTTAGCGAAGATTCTTCCCTTACAATCCACGTTATTTTTCAAATTTTTTAATTTAGGCTACTTTACCGAAAAGCAGAATGCGAGAAGCTTGTTCATTCTCAGTTACGTTGAGATAATATTAGACCAGTCACTAGAAAACGGAATCTAATAAGTAAATACATCTAACTTTTTCAGGCCAAGGGACAAACTCCTGATACATTTTATGCCATGCAGTTACTGGAAGAAACAGGGATATGTTCAGTACCTGGAGCATTGTATGGTCAAATTCCTGGAACTTACCATTTACGGTAGGTATAAATTCAAATGTTATATAAGGTATTTTTCCCGCCTTCTTAGCGTGCCTTCGTGGTGTAGTGGTCTGCATGCTGGGCGCGTATTCCAGAGGTCCGCGGTTCGATTTCCGGCGAAGACGTTGCTTATTTTTCATCTTCCCTGCTTTTCCAGGAAAAAAAAAGAATCCTAATGTCTTTACAGTGGTGCCCGAACTAAAAGGGTGGTGGATGATGATTCTCCACACCCACGATTTGGCGATTGGGTACCCTAAAACCCGCAGTCACCCTTTAAAAGAACTATATAATGTATTTCTACCGCCTTCGTAGTGTGGTGGTCTACACGCTGGGCGCGTATTCCGGAGGTCCGTGGTTCTATTCCCGGGGAAGGCGTTGCTCATTTTTCATCACTTCTGCTTTAAAAATGACCTAATGACTCTACAGTTAAACAGTCAGATGTAATTAAATATACAAAGATTAACTAACAATAAGAATTTTGCAAGTTATCTATTTCTTTTCTAAAGCCTCTGAATCCATTTTTCCGTACACATAAAAAATGTCTGGAAAAAGATAATTATAGAAAGATATTTACTTAGTAGGATGGACAATGTGTTTAGTTGTTAAGACAAAATGTTTATACAAAAATGTTTTAGAAAAGGATAATTATAGAAAGATACTTAGTAAAATGGACAATGTGTTTAGTAAACATTATAGTGGATTACCTTCCTTTTTATACCTTAATTTCCACCCCTGTTATTGATACATGATACCATTTCAAAACGAAATTTGTCTTGACAATCAATCCACAGAAAAGTTATATATTTATAAAAGAAAAACTGTATTATTTTGTAATACCCCTGCCATGATAAAAACAAAATTTTTTAAAAATTTATATATATCTATATAATATTTAGATTATTTATATATGATATTTAAATTAAAGTCATCACTACAGTTACTTTTGTCACTACAGAAGTGTAACTAAAAAGTAACATAGTAGCTCCAGAAATCGTAAAATCTTATCCCCATGTATCTCTAAAATTTCAATAACATTGTGGTGTTGCGTGGCCCCAACTTGCCCGCAACAGACTGCTTTGAACTGGAAATTACACAAACTCTTAAGAAGGATTTAACTCCCTTTTTATTCCACTTTAGAAGTTACAGATGCGTTCACTTGACGCTCACAAACTACGCCGACCCGGCGGTTAAATAAAAATAGAAAGGTACAACTAAAAATAAATAACAGGATGAATAAATAACAAGTTATACCTACGAGGCTCTATAAATGTGACTAACTTAACCGCGTTCTAAGATACAGCTGAGATTCAGCAAACTTTTGGATTGAGAAGTTGAAAGTTTCAACTAACTGCCGGAGTAGACACACAGGCCGAAACGCGCGGTTCTTAAACTTCTACCAAACAACCTTCACGCTCGTGAATCAAGAAACACACTTACAAACTCGTTTCCCTTCTATTTAACTCAAAATTACTTCTGCTAAAAATTTGAATACTCTGCGCGTTCTACTAAAATTTACATACTCTGGCATTGGCGATTCCAGGGGAAAGTAAAGGCTTGACAGGAAAGATAGCTTAAACTTAAAATAAATGTTAGTTAAAATAAATATAAACCCTACATTTGCCGCTGCCAGAATTTGGTAAACTTGGAAGCAGGTCCTAGAAACGACCTGTTGAAAAAGTTTCCATATTCTGAACTAAAACTGAAGAGCCTCGTTTACATAAAACAAACTGTTTTCTCAAAAATTAGAATAAATTTCTGTAGGTACATAATTTTACAATCTCTTCTTACAGGAACCTTTCCTGGTCTTCAGCAATCAATCTTTTCTCTTCCTTCCAGCATCTGGAAGGAATAAGTTTCAGTATCTTTTAAATACATTATGATTTACACTTTCTTAACACTGGATAAAGTTGTCGTTTTCGATCATTTTATTTTCCTTAATTAACTGCTTAATTCACATTCATTCAAGTAGTCAAATCTGAAATTAACTTTATCCTGGTTCTCCACCATGTGTGGTGTCAAACGGGAATATACGTGTTTTAGTATTACAACACTTCCCCTAACCACAATGATTTGTTAGAATTTCAACAACCAAATAGACACACCTTAATCGACATACTGAAACTCGATGAGCTATGTTTAACATTCTTAAAATTCAAGTGTAGGTGGAGAACCCTACAAAACACATTCATTCTAATTCCCCCCTCATTCATCTTTAGACATGCAGGCTTTCGCTCTAAAGCATGATTTTATCTACAGTTTAATACTTAAATTTGAATTCATTTCTTTTGAGTATTTACTTTTAGCATCTAAAATTTTATGCTTCTAGACTAAATTCTACTTTTACATAACTTTCAAGTATTTACGTATATTTACAAATTCTAATACATATGATTTTTACAATTTACCATAAAATGAATAAGATAAAAATAAAGTTTTACTTCACGCATTCTTCGCCAAGCTGGCGGCACTGAAACTAAATTTTTCATTAATACAAGAATACGAAGTTATTTTACTTTCGGCCAAATTTTGGCTTTAACATAACAGAATTAGTCTTTCGACCAACAGGAACTGCTTGCTTCTTAGATTTTATACTTAAAGAAAATAATACTTTTGCCTTAGCTAAATAAAGTAAAACAAAACTAAGTCTCAACCGAGACAAATTGACTTCCGTCAAAACATAGAACTTCGTATTTACGCATAACATTTCGGAACAAAAGAAAAAAATTTTATAGATTTTAACTTATCTTTGAGTTTTCGATGATTGGAACTCCGACATCCTCTTCTGGCAGAACTGATCCCACGTTATGGAATTCATAGAAGTCAGTCGTCTCCTTTGGGTTCTTCGAGTTTCGTCCATGGTGATTTTTCTTTTTCGCCCTCTGTACGCCGGCCTCTTGGAGTGGTAGTCTTCGGGTTCCTGTCTTTTCCGTTTTTCCCCTGGACGGCTGGTCTTGGCGGCCTCCGGTCTGGAATCGTGCTTGAATTTCTTCTGTTGGTGGTGGTCTTTTTCGTTCCTCCTTGTCTTTTTGTTCTCGTGAACGGCGGCCTTGTTTGCTCCTGACTATCTGGCCCTGGAAGTGGTTTCCTCCTCGACGCAGAATTTCTACTGAGGAAACGTTGTAACTGGTCTTTTCCTCTTTACCAAAGATTCTTTACGCGGCGGCGTTGATTTCTTGTATTTCTTGAATGCTGGAGTCTGAACATTTTCCTTTCTTTCTTCTTTTCGGGACCGTAGCATGACTTGTAGAAGGGCTAGGTTCCTCTTCTGTTCTCTGCTTCTTGGGTGGTGGAGCGGGTGGCGTTACTTCTGGACCTTCCACTTCTTTTGCGCTTGAGTCCTGCAAGAAACTTTTAAGGATTTCAAAATCATTTTGATTATAATATTTTTTTCACCTGGTCGGGACTTGCTTTACAGATTTCCCCTCTCTCGTTCTTAAGGTACAATACGACTCCCTTGATTTCCTGAATTACATAGGGGCCTTCAAATTTTGGAGCTAACTTTGCAGTAAAATTGTCTGGGGCACTTGATAAAGAAAATTTCCGCTTTAAAACACTTTATCCCCAACTTTAAAATCTGCTTCACGGCGTTTTCGATCATAGTACAAGTTTCTGTCTATTTCTTGCCGTATCCGAACTTTTAACCGCCTGGTCAATGAGTTTCTGTACATCTTTTTTTGAATTCTTGCTCTCTTTGTTGCACAAAGAATAATTTATCTAATGGGCGTAATTAACTTTCCGTCCTAAAAATAATTCTGCTGGAGTTTTTCCCGTAGTATCATGATTTGCTGTTCTTAAAGCATAAGCTAACTCATTTATGTAGCCATCCCAGCGCTTGTGATGTGTGCTAACATAACTTCGAATTATTTTTACAATATTTTTATTAACTCTTTCTGCTATGTTTGCCTGTGGTCTATACGGAACCATTTTGATATGGCGTATGCCAAGTCCAGTGCAAATGTTTTCAAATATTTGGCTAACGAATTGTTTACCGTTATCGCTAATGACTTTTATCGGTGCACCGTATTTTAAAATGTATCTGTGTAAGAATGCATCTGCGACTGTTTTGGCTGACGCGCGTTTAAGTGGAACAATTTCTGTCCATTTTGAAAAATGATCTACAATTACTAAAAGAAAACGATTTTTATTTAACTCACTCTGGGGAAAGGACCAAGAAGATCTATGCCTAAAATTTCATTCGGAAATGTAGCGCGAATGCTATTTAAGTACCCGGCCGGGCTGTAATTAATATCATTTATTAACTGACATTGATTGCAGGACCTGACATACGCAGTTACTATTTTGTATAATTGCGGGAAATATACCGCCTCGCGTACCCTTTTTAAAGTCTTTCTGACCCCTAAATGACCCGCTGTTTTCGCGTCGTGTAATTCCTTCAAAATGCTTAATCGAAGCGAGGCTGGGATGACTGGTTTATATTCGAAATTTTCGTTTGTTGTTTTCGTATAAAATAATAAATTATCTATTATTTCATAGTTTTCTGCTCTATTTCTTATTGAATCGATATCTGTGTGTTCAAAGCTTTCGGGGTCTTTCAAATACGCATAGATACTTCCAAATTCAGGATCAGCTTTCAATTCAGCAATAATTGTTTCTCTAGAATCTAAAATTTTTGAAGTCAACACAGCGCATTTGAGTTCATTGCCTTCATCGTCCAGTTTTATACGAGATAGTGCGTCAGCTACATTGTTTTCCTTACCCGGTTTATATTTAATTATTAGATTATATTCTTGAAGTTTTAAAGCCCATCTTATTAACCTGGGCGTTAGGTTTTTCCCCGAGTAAAGTCTACCCAACAGCCGCATGATCCGAAAAGACTGTTACTGGCGCTTTGCCGAAATAAACTCGAAATTTGTGTACAGCCATTAATACGGCTAATGTTTCTCTCTCTGTAGCTGTATAATTCCTTTGCGTAGGTTTAAAGTTTTACTAAAAAATGCCAAAGGATGGCCATTTTGCATGAGAACCGCACCTACGCATAG